AGTGGAACATAGGGTTTCAACTGCACGTCTCTACTTGCTTCTGTCTTCTGCTGTACTTTTCACCTGCATCCATGTTAGCCCATATTGTTTCAACTCTTCCTCACACGATCTCCTCCATGTCACCCTTGGACGTGCCACTCGCCTCTTCCCTTTCGGCTTCCACTCGAGCAATGGCCTAACGCGCGCGCGATATCACCAACCGGCCTCCTCAACAAGTGTCCAATCCATCTCCAATTTCTCCTGCATATTTTTATATTTGGGCGATTGCTTCTTGTTTTGTTTCTTCCCATAGTTTGGTTGTTGGTGATTCTTTCCCGTCCGGCCATCTGATCTTCAGTATAGAGCCAGCGAAGACAGTTGTTGGTTGATAAAGGTCTGCAACAGGCTGTTGGAAATATTCTTTGTGACCCGTCCGCCAAGTTTCTGATCCGTATAGAAGAACTGACTGACTTGACGTTTGTATTGAAAATTCGACGGAATTTCGTTGTTGGTGCTGAGTGACTTGATGCTGATTTCCAGATTGGTTTCAGGTTGATGAATGTGTTTCTCACCTTCCCGATTCTCGCTCGATTTGATCCTCGTCCGTTCCGACTGCCTGTAGTTGAGATGATGCTCCCTAGATAAGTGAATGAATGCGGTTACCTCTCTCAAATCCCTCCCGTTGATGGTGACTGACGCTGGATGTTTCTACTGTTGTTGTTGTTGGTGGTGGTGTTGGTTGATTATTTTAATAATCTCCGTCTTGTTTATGTTCACCTGGAGTCCTGTCTTCGCCGACTGCTTCTTCGATCAGTTTGTTGGTTTTCGCTTGTAAGTCTTCGATTTTGTGTGACATCAAACATAAATCATCCACCAGTGGAATTCAGGTCTTCTAGGTCCTTCACGTGGGTCCAGGATATCCTTGTCTGCTCGTTTCCCACTCACTGTCTGACGCATAATCCAGTTAGTCCAACACAATTAAGAATATCACTGGTGATAATAAGCACCCTTGTCTGACTCCTGTGTTCACTTTACTTTACTTCACTTTACTCGCTGAGTTTTCCGTTGTGGATCACTTGACATGTACCGTTGTCGTACAGCTGTTGAATAAGGTTGATGAATATTTGGGGTACGCCGTAGTACTTAGTTAGTGATTGATATTTTGTACCTAAACACGTGTGTGCTCATATGAGAATATAATGAATATTCTCTCATAACACTGATACTGGAAAAGTCACAAAAGGTATGGGTGAGCCAACTGCTAAGCATGATGAACTATTGGTATTAGATGGTTGGAGAGAATCGACACGAAACCTTGGACCTAGGTTTCGCTCAAGTTGACATTCATCAGCAAGGCGTATCTGCAACCTCGAAGACTGCAACGAAGATACGACTAGACACATTACACTTGTTACTGACTAGCGTCCAATCGGAAACATGATGAACTGTCTCCTCTACAATTATCTAACTTACTAACTAACTCAATCTTACTTTAGTTGCTGTCTAGTTAATCTTGTTTCCACATTAGATCATCATTCTTGTATTACCTGATTAATTATCTAAACTTGACAAACCTCATGTACACACACACACACCAAATAATTATATATATATAAATGAGACTGTACAGCTATGTGAATGAATCCACCGAAACAAGTCTCTTCGCTGAACATCTTTTCTTTTTCATAGTTATCTATTTCATGATTCAAAGGAGAACCAACTGTCTAGGTATTGAAGCATCTAGATATAGAGATTTCCAATTCATAATGTCATTTTGAAATGAAATATGCTAAAGGTTTTTCGTTGAATTTTGAAGTGAAATTTCAAAATACATATAACCATATTGTTTTTTTGATTTGAATAATATTTTGGATGAAAAAAAACTTTGACCGGAACAAGCTGGATTCAGGAGAAACAGGTCATGTATTGATCAAGTTGCCACACTACGGATCATCATTGAACAAAGCTTGGCATGGCAGTCACCTCTCTATCTCAACTTCATCAACTTTGAAAAAGCATTCGACAGCGCAGCGTCGATTGAGAGGTCATTTGGCAACTACTTCGCTACTACGGGGTCCCATCGACAATTATACATCTCATCCAACAGTTATACGACAATGCTGCATGCCAAGTAATCCACAAGGGGAAACATACGGAAACCTTCGAAGTGAGGACGGGAGTAAGACAAGGCTGTCTACTATCACCAATGATTTTCCTGATTACAGTAGATTGAATAATGCGATAAATAGCGGGCAATGAGGAAACAGGCATAAAATGGACTCACACAGAAAACTTGGAGGATCTGCACTTCGCCGATGATATATGTCTGATTTCCCACAAACTGGAAGATATGCAAGTGAAAAGCAAAAAGTTGGCAGAAGAATCATGCAGAGAAGATAAGACTTCAGGTGAACATAGAGGAAACAGATGCTGTGACTCCTGGCCAACACCAACATCAACAACAACAGACAACAAACAGCACAAATAGGAGGAACCTTGAAGAAACAACTTCCTTCACCTACTGACCTACCTGGGAAGCATCGTTTCAACTACAGGCGGAACTGACGAGGATATCAAAGTCAGAATTGGAAAAGCAAGACAAGCTTTCATTACTCTTAAGTCTGTGTGGAGGTCAACAGCACTCAGCATGAAAAATAAGGTGTGGATTTTCAACTCCAATGTGAAGTCAGTGCTACTTGCTATACGGATCAGAGACTTGGCGCGTCATAAATAGCACTTCGAACAAACCACAGATCTTCATCAACAGCTGTCTTCGCTCAATGCTCAAAACCAGATGGTGGGCCAGAAAAGATCAGCAACAGGAAGGGATCTCTGGGAGCGAACCAACCAGGTAGGAAGAAATGGAGTTAGGTGGATTAGCCATACTCTAAGGAAAGCATCAAGTGATATCACTAGACAAGCCATTGCTCGAGTGGAACCCGAAAGGGAAGCGACGAGTTAGTAGTCAGTGCAAGGGTCACTTGGAGGAGGTCATGTGAAGAGGAGATGAAAGCATGTGGGCAGACTTGGAGCCAGATGAAAACGTCGGCAGAGAACCGGACGCAATGGAGACGCGCGGCTGAAGCTCTATGTTCCTCTAGGAATTAAAGGAAGTTGTAATACTATTTTGTCATTATAGTGTTTAAATAGTCAGAATTTCATCAGATTGATGGGAGTCGTTGTCGAGATATCGACAGTCAGTAATTGACTATAATCATGCTTTTACTGTCGCCTTACACTGGCTGACTGAATTCTTAAAGATGAAGTCAGTATTCATGAGTGTCCATTCCGAAACTGGGAGGAGATAACAGTCCATATTTACAAGAGTTGATTTGTAAGGATCAGATTTTTTTTTACGAGTTTGACAACAGATTGATATCAGTTAAAGAACCATTGACAGCCAGAGAGGAGTATTGGGCAGCTGTTTCGTCGTAGTTTGAGAATCATCGGTGGTACGCACCGACTGGATTTCGAACCCAGCACCTTCCGGTTACAAGGCAAGCTAGCTCGTATACCCTTTAAGCATATTTTCCTCTGACTGCCTAATATCATTTTTTTCCTACAATTTATTCTATTCCTCGCAAACCGAATATCGAAGACACTTCTCTTGGACGAATTAAATATGCTGCGTTTTCTGTTGGAGGAAGTAGTGGAAGGAATGAAGGCAATCGCCCTCCCCAACTAATACATAGCTGTGCTGTATTTTGTAGAATGGAAGAAACTTCACAAAAACAGTTATTTCATCACATCATGCCCCTCTCTCTCTCTCTCTCTCTGGTGATTTATCACTACCCATCTACATCTGCGAATATTTGAAATATTGATTTTATCTAGAAAGTGTGTTGAAAGGTCAACAATTTTCTATGAATCGTAGGTTAAAGAATGCAAGTAACAAACGTAAAAGATAATCGTTGTATAATGTTGAAGCATCAAAGTTACAGCTGTAATGATCAGGCAACCATCTGGTCAAAGTTGAACAGTAAATGTCTTTTCCTTAATAACTCTTTATGAAAGCGGTGAATATGAAGTTCTCAGGACTGTTTCTCATGTCTTAATTAATACATGAACCTTCAACGTGTTTAAATGGCCAGTGTTTCTTTGAAAATGAAATATTTCCCGAAAGACACCATGGACTCATTCTCTTACTGGTTTTGCTAATTTTAGAACCTAAAGATTTGAAACCAGGTAAGTAAGAGACTGATTTAACTTTTCATTGTATCAACTTTTACAGGCTGAATTCTTCTATCTGATCAATATTTTGTGTTAAGTGTTAACACAGGTGATGTTGATCTCCAGTTGACTATCTTCTGACAAGACAGTTTTTCAAGCAACCGAAGAGAAATTTAGTTGGGCAAATCGGGTGGATTTACTAGTCTTCACTTTGTATACAAGTGGAAACACGTCGTGTGTGTGTGTGTGATTAAGACATCCTGGTTGGACACACCGTAGAAATTGATTTTCCCATTCTTAAGTGCATAAAAGTGAAAATGTATGAATGTACCATAAGCACAAAGCTTAGAATTAAATGGCTTAAATCTGGTGACACATGACTTGTGTATAGTAGATGTAGAGCAACACTGAGAAACTACATTTTGCAGTAAACGGAGAACTATGAGGGTGACAGATCGCATGCATACTTAGAAAGGTTACACACACTAATCACGACACAATGAACGTTTTTAGCACAATGAGTTCAGACATTTTTACACGAATGGGAATAACTATCGCAGGTTTGCGGGATAACTCTAAATTATATGTTAGAAAACACTGAAAGTGATTAAGACACTCAATTAAATATTATGGTCCAGCCTTTAGTTCCAGGAAAATAGGTGTCAGCTACGTCTGTCATTACCTTGTTCCAGATAACAAGATGTAGGGATAGACACACACACACACACAGGTAATGTGAAGTCAAATAGCCGTAGCTTATCTTCGTTGCTCTGTTGGGTTAATGCCTTTTTATAGAGAAAGTGCACTGGAATTCACGTATATGTTGTCATCTCTCTATTTTCACATGTCAGGGAGGTATTTCTCTGTATCCCGTTCGCTTACACCAAAGAAAGATTTTGATTTGTGCTCCCAGGTCAGTGACTGTATAACCTTCAGTGAAGCGTTTCTGTCATGTATCCTCCCGATAATCTTGAAAACGTTTCATTGTGTTGATTTTCATGAGGAGGTTATGTGTATGTTAGGAAAATTATAATATCTCCATGACATGTGATTCTTTGAACGAATTATCTGGATGTTGGGCTGTTTAATTTTCATGTAATACAATGTAACAGAAGAGGGTCATGTACAAGTTGATATTCACGGAATGGTTCATTGTTCGTAATCATACCATAGAAGCATATTCTTGGTGATATTAGATGATTGGAGGCAACCGTCAGGAAGCCCTACCTGACATAGGTATCGTGCTACTTGACACTTGTCAGCAAGGCGTATTTGCAAGCCTCAAGGAACTCATGTCCCTTCTAAGATTTGAACTCATGTCACCCAGTGCTGCAGTCAGAGACGTGACCACTGAACTAATTGGGCTCGCGATTGATCGCCTGTAGGACTGTAGTGGGAACTTTGGTTGGACACTAGTAACTACTATGATGTCGAATAGCTTAGTGGTAACGTCTTTGACTGCAGCACTGGGTGACGCGAGTTCGAATCTTAGAAGGGACATGAGTTCCTTGAAGCTTGCAAATACACCTTGCTGACAAAAGTGCCAAGTAGTACGAAACCTAGGTTCAAGGCTGGGCTTCCTGACGACTGCCTCCAACCATCTAATATCATCAAATTAACGTCCACCGTGATGGCGAGTCACCTAGAATGGTGGCTACATTGCAAATCTGACTGATAGAATTCAATCTGCACCAAAGAAAGGAGTAAACACGTCGCACTAGTTACTAGTGTTCAATCAAAGAAGCATATTGTATCAGACAATATCACGTTTTTCCACTAAAATAAACGAATATTTCCTATATTTGCCCTTCACTAGTGTTATATACACCTAGTTTTCCTAATTTTACTTAAATCCTTAAATTATTATTTCAAGGAGTTATCATTCACTGGCGTGAGCCTTTTGTTTTTCCCTCTGTTTGGACTGCTGAATTCCTATTGGCTGTTAATACTTTCAATGCATCACCGAATTATTGTATTTTCAAGGCCATTCTAACGATATATAATATATATATATACTTCATCAGGTCTCTCCTTCGTGTACTCATCGAATCAACACGCAGGCACGTATTCATGCACCCACGCTAACACACACACACACACAATATTCGAGTAATCAATCACATCTGACTTTGTTTCTCATATTGATAAGGTGTAGAAATGACAAGATTTTGACCGAATTTCTGTTGTGTGCTTTTTTTTCATTTCAGATGAGATTGCATTTATCACAAAAATATCATGGATTCGGTGAATCAATGGAACACTGTTTATATAAGCATAAAGAAAGTCAATTGAAGATGAAGTTTTCAAAGCCTAAACTATTCCTTCAAGAGATGTTGGTCTCAAAAGCTACAGCCGAAAGATTAATTGACTATGTCATTGAAATTTTCCGCAAGACTAAAAAGGTGAACACAGTGTGTGTGTGGTTTTCATAATAATCAATGTTATTAATCTTGTAGGTTTCGTTTAAGAAAAGAAAGAGTATCTCCTTGTCCAGTCAGGTGTAATCAAAGGAATTTACAGGTGAGTGAGCAGTTTGTGTGACCGGATGTGCAGTGCAGTGAAGGGAAGTGAAGTGAACAGGTGAAATTCAGCTATCAGACAATTTGAAGACTTTTCTAATTATGATGACTTCACTTCACCAAGGAAGTTGGAACTGCAGAAATGTATTCATCATTCCTAAAACTAATAGTTGTAGTAGTAATAGTAGTAAAATCAAGTTAACTCATTTCGTTTTGAAATTCTTCAGTGAGACTGGCACGCTTGCTGCTTAAGATGGTAGGGCTTTCTTTCTGTGTCACAAACACTGGATGTATCATTTAAACAGTAACCGAAATACTTTTTACACAACACATTCTTTGTGAATATTTCAACCCTACGATATCCTATCGATTGGCTTTATGGTGAAGTGTATGACATTGGCAGTTACATAAATTACTGAGTAGGAATTCGCTTTTGTCTTGAGTTTGCATGTCACAAATCAATTTAGAACCCCTTTCTATGCAATTATAAGCTCTTCATCAGTGTAAGTCCACCACCACATCAAACGTGTATGAGAGAATTAACACGTTATGCAGTAAGTATGGAACTATTAAACCAGTGGGTTGAAAATCACTCGGTCATACACAAATTCTAACACATTAACCTAATGCATTTCTAAAAACACCGAAAACATAACTTCCCACTGAATTGAATTTTTGATTTTTCCGTCGATTGTTTGAGCCGAAGTGCTCGGTCTCAGGTTGACATGTCGGCTTCTTGTGCAGATGCTTCGACGATGTCTGGGCATTTAATTAGTATACAATTGGTGGATGGTGGCTAGCAGTGGAATCCAGGATGCGCATTTCGTCCTATTTGGATAATGCTTTGGCGTTTGAAACTATGGGTACTGGGTTCGAGCTTCGGTGGGAACGTCATCACTCACTGAGAAATGCAGGTACATCCAGCTGACGAGTCCCAAATAGGACGAAATGTGCATCCTGGATTCCACTGCTAGCCACCATCCACCAATTGTATAATAACTTCCCACTAATGATTCTGGAAATTTATCAGTAATTAGTGAATTCACATTCAAACGTTAATTTGTCTGTTAACTATTCTGCTGATTTTCGAATGGTTTTTTCATCATCACTAATCGACGTTATCTGAAAATCTAGTGCATTTGAGTGACTGCATGAGTTTTAATTAACATATACATACATGCGTGCTACTCGTAGTCAAATAAATATCAGTAGTATAGAGGAAATATCTCAGGTGGAGTAATAGAAGTGATCTCAACGTTTCATACATTTTGTTCCCTTGATAAATTTCGATAGAGAAAGAAAGACCAGATTTGCAGCATAAAATGATGCCATCATTCTATTTCACAGGTTCTCATCAGCTAACTGCAAACTACCTGAAATTACAATGGTTATAAATAGTGATAACATTTCATACTTCAATGTTTGAAAGGTAATAGAGAAGACATTATAAGGTGAACGCATCTGGAATATAAGTATTATAATTTATAGTTTAAGTCACCATCAATTTATATACTGTCAAACTATGAAAAATGAAAGAAAAAAGCGTGGGGGTGAGAGAAGACAGTAAACAGAAAAATCTAATAAACAGTGTCAACATGGCAACTCAACAAAGTCAAAGTTCATCAATTTGAAGACTTGCTTAGTGAGTTAAGCCCACTAGGACAGGACACGATAGGGCCAACAAAATAGAAGAATTAAGCTTTGTTGAAAAATTCCTTAAGGAAAACGGGTATCCAAAAGGATTTATCCTAAAGTTCAGCAAAGAAAGAGATGAGAAAGAGAAGTATCCAACAGTTGAAAAGAAGAAAGTGTTCATTTGCCTCCCATTTAAAGGGGAAACAGTATCGCAAAAGATTGAAAAGAGGATGAAAGGACCAATAAAGAGATGCTTCCCTTCCCTGCAGCCAATCTGGTGACACTATACAGTACTACATGCTCTATAAGCCGAACGAAACTGGATAAGTACCCTCCTGATATTACCTCCAACTGCATTGATAAATTTACGTGCACCTGCGCCAGCAAGTACATTAGAAGGACAGAAAGAAGGGCTTCTATCCGGTTTTCAGAGCTTATTCTGAAAATCTTATGCTTAAAAGGAAACAGATATTTACAAAGTGCAATTACCAGACCCCCACCAGACAGTGGATACGGGTCATTTTGTCAAGATTTCCAAATCCTTCAAAATATTAAACATACAAAAGACAGCGAATCTACTACGATTCACTGCTGCAGCAATTACATCAATCAAAAGTCACAGACCAAACTTATGCATACAGAAAGAGAGTGTGATCAATCTCTCACTCCCTTGGTAACCCCATATCACTTTCATTACAGTGATTAGTCATGCACACTAGTGAAGTCAACTCAATAAGCAAGTCTTCAAATTGATGAACTTTGACTTTGTTGAGTTGCCATGTTGACACTGTTTATTAGATTTTTCTGTTTACTGTCTTCTCTCACCCCCCACGCTTTTTTCTTTCATTTTTCATAGTTTGACAGTATATAAATTGATGGTGACTTAAACTATAAATTATAATACTTATATTCCAGATGCGTTCACCTTATAATGTCTTCTCTATTACCTTTCAAACATTGAAGTATGAAATGTTATCACTATTTATAACCATTGTAATTTCAGGTAGTTTGCAGTTAGCTGATGAGAACCTGTGAAATAGAATGATGGCATCATTTTATGCTGCAAATCTGGTCTTTCTTTCTCTATCTAAATCTCAGTGTTACTTGAAATTTCATTTGAAAAGTAAGGCAAAAATGAGACGATAACGAATAGAGAGTGTCTAATGACAACCCCAATCAATATAACATTTTCTGTCATAAGTCTTAAACTCCGTACATGTATAGTATTCACACATACACAGGTGACTATGTCTGACACGCCAAAACCTACCTCGTTTATTGCTTTCAGGATTTCATCATCAGCTGACATTAGTTAGAGAACCATTGGAAAACCTGGGAGTACTGGACAGCTGTTTCCCCCGTCTCAGTTTGGGACGCTTTATTAGTACGCACTCACAACCAGGGTTCTAACCCAAGACCTTCTGGTTACAAGGCGAGCTAGCTCATATACCATTAGGCCATTGGGACCCGATTCAATGGCCAGTCCATGAATTCTAACTTCTGCCAATTCACGATATAGCGCAACCGTTAGCCAGTATTTGTCCTCACACCCGACCTGCTGCACCTTACTGTTCACAACTTCCCACTGGAACCCCACGTAACTACCTACCTGAATAGAGCCAGTCGCCAGTGAGCATCTCATTGGTATTCAAGTATTGGTTTGTAGAGATTTGGTTGATTGGTTACCTCGTTTACCCATTTCAGTGAATAGAATTTACTTCCATCAATAACAGAATATTAAATATGTGAGATAATGAGGTTTTACTGTGTGTGCTGTGAAGACACTTCATTGTTACGCTTTCCCGTTCCACCACTTCCTATTTCAGCTATCACAATAGTACAACTGATGTGGAATTGTACAGGATTCATTGTCATAAAAGAACTGTGCCGTTAATGTGTTCAGTTAAAGAAATTATATTTTCTTGGTTAATCTTGTGTTCTGTGTAATACTGAAGCAAATGGGTATGGCAGGGGAAAATAATCTTTGGACACTTATCACATTACAGGGTCAACAACCTGTGTGGGTGTGTTGTAAACGTCAAATAGTCGGTTGTCTTACTTGCATAATATTTTCAATACTAATAGTATGGTGTCAGGCAATGATGTCGACTGTCACCAAAATGACTGCGATTGTTGTAATTCACATTACTTATGAAGTCTGTGATATTCACATTGGAATGTGCAACGGATACTGAAGTATCACATGCACACGAAACACAGAGATATAGATGAATGAATGAATGGAAGGGCACCTTCAGATTGTATTCAGTGTGCGTGCAAATTTAAAGCATAATTGAATATTGAACACGCTTTAGAGTCAGTGCCGTTTAACTCAAATAATAGACAGTATTTATAGCTCAGGAGTAGAACTGTAAGTGTGCGACATTATCGTTAGGTGAGTTTACCTGTTACACTTACAAAAAGACTAACTTCTTTCACCCAGGTCCTAAACACTACTCTGCCTATCCTGCAAGTACTGAGGGACGAGTGAAAAGCATAAATAAAACGGATTCACAACCTGCCTGCAACCACAAGTATATTTATAATGGATGTGATTAGAATTCAATAATATAAAAAAGGCTTACAACTTATCTATACCTAGTGCAGTAGTGAGCTTGAATAGTGTGCTTGTGGAAGAGTACAGCGAGGACGCAAGCGTGCAAGCACTAAAACGTATAAGAATTCAAGGGAAGTGACGTAACGCCGATACACGGATGTAGTAATTTATTGTAATCGTAATATTAGTGTTTCAAGATGACCGAATTACAAGAATCCAAACAAAACAAAGAGAGGGCGGAATTCAGGAATTTGTATTTAGCGGAATTATTATGCAATTCATATAAGAAACATATTAACAATCAACAGTAAGTATTTAAACAATACAGAGATAGAAATTGTCAATCACCACATCCGCCACACGTCGAATGTCTCCTTGCGTATTTATAACGATGTCTCGGTTTGCTTGCAAGTAGCTGCGACCTTCTAACTGAATCTGTGATATCATTTTCATCAGTATTATCTGGACTTATTTCTGAATTATCTACAAAATCAGGATTATTAGCGGAATCAATAATATTATAATTGGAACGACCTACTTCATTTATTGTCACTTTGTCCAGGTGTCCGTTATGAACTGAGTGATCTTTGATGTCTAATATCTTCACCAATCGATTTCCCATTTTTTGTAGTATGATTCCAACAGAAGGTCTGTAGTCATTCCCTTTGTAATAATGTACATTAGAAGTCGTGGACATCAGATGCTTCTTGAGAATTCGAGATTTGAAAAGTTTTTCAGGACTTTCACGGGTACTTGTATGCTCTGCATTCAACAAACTCAGTCTATGCATATG